GTATCTCTGAAATTCTCTGTCAAGTGTTTTCTTCCTATAAAAAAAAAAAAAATTAATTGGCAGCTGTGACTTTCAATTCTCTCTTTCCCCTCCTCCCTTTCCCTGATAGGGTGAGAATCCTAACAAGCAAGAGTCCAAGGTGCCCACAGTCAGATTTACTGCACTCTGTTAATGTGATGGAAAGCAAGGTATGGGCTGGAACTGGAAGYAGAGGTGCAGTGCTACTACCCTGAAAATTAAGTGTTCTCCAATACGGAGCATACAGAAAACCGTATGGCTGTAAATATATAGAAAGAATTAAAATGATTAATTAATGAATGAAGGCTGCGCTCCGTTCCAAACTGGGTTTTTGTGTTGTGTTTTATGGCAGAAGTGCCATGTTGAGAATTTCATACTGCCTAGAATTGTACTGAAATAGGAGCTCAGCCCTGAGCTCGATRTTTTCCCACTCCCTGCCACAGAACAGCTTGGAGTAAACAAGTCTGTTATTAACATGTTGCTCAAAAGCTGTTTGAAAACACAAAGCCTCCAACATATATTTTTTGCTTTAAAAAGACACACTGAGAATGCTTTGCTGCCTCAGGAAATAGATAGGCAGCTTGATGGCCCACACCCTGTTTTGGGAATAAGTTACAGAATTTCTTTTCTCTTATTCCAAAATGAATCATCATTTTCTGCCCAGATGTTATTTTCCTTTTTGCAGATTATTTCTTCTCTTTTTTCCAGTTTACACAGACCAACTGCACGGCAAGCAAGAGACTAATGCATCACAGTTGAAGATGGCAAAAGTTTGCCTTCCTCTTACTCAAGCAGTTCAAACATTAATGGTAGTTTTGAGATTTAATTCTTGCACCCTTGTGAGTCCATGAGTTCTTTGCTGGCAGCAAATTCAGATATTCCAAAGATGGGAGAGATCTTCGCAGACTGGYGGAGCTCTGCGGATGCTGTGTGGTGCTTGTTACAGAGTAGGACAAGCAACTCTGTAACAATCTCCCTCCATCTATTTTCCTCTTCCAACATCATCTCCCTCTCACCTTAATTCGTTGATGAGGATATTGGCTGACAGGAATGAAGAAAGTTAGAGCATTAGCTGCTGGTGGAAGAGTCTTCCTGGCTCAGTGCTCCCAAATCCAAGTCAACTTCTGCAGGAGTTTTCCCCTGTGCCTCACAGCAGATCTCAGCCCTAGCTCCAGACCCAAATATTTTGACCCTCTGGAGGCCCAGCACAGCTCCTGTGAACACAGCTGAGCTCAGGGACTGTCCAGATGTGGGCAGCGCTCAGTTCCTCCAGCACATGGAAACCTCTCTGACAGTGTCCATCACTGACATCTTTGGGACCACCAGCTCCCAGGAGCACAAATTCCCTAATTCTTGCTGGGCTTTGAGGAAAGCACGACATCCCAATGGCAAAACTCCCATCAGCTTCACCAGGACAGCATCAGACCTTTTGCACCTTCTGCTGTGCTGGTTTTCACCCAGCACTATCAGTCTGGGTAGTAGCCTGCTCCTAAAACAGATGAAAAGCAACTTTGTGTGGCTGCTGATGAGGATGCTGACCCTTTATCTCACCCCGAGTTGGACAAGGGGAAAATAAAGAGACCAAATTTGTGYAATTTGGTCACCTCTCTTCTCAGACATCTGTTTCCAAGCAAGCAAGAAGAAAATGGGTGACTAACACACAGCTCTGCAGCTCAGGAGCCAGCCCCTGGATCCTCCTCCGTGGCAATAAATGTGTCCCTGGCAAACACTAAGCTGAGATTTTAAATGAGGAATTAATGAAAATGCACTCYTTTTCCTGCTTGTTGTCCCTTTAAATTCAGTTTCCATGGAAACAGGTATGGAAAGGCTGCCTGGAGGAAGCCAGAAGGGATCTCTGGCTGGSCGCCTTTCCCTCTGGGTTGCCAGCTGAACAGCCCCAATTGTCAGGCTTTTACAGAGGTTTTTTGCTATTGTCATTCACTCCTGGAATGCGAGTGATGATTCCTCATGGATTCTCTCTCTAGGGAGTCCTGAGGTGGCCAGCCACGCTCCTGTCACCTGCTGCTGGGCTCCTTGCAAGGGGAGCTCCTCTGCTCCYACGGCCCATCCGCTGGAGCACAGGCTCATCTGAACCCACACAACGCTGCTTTGCTGCAAATGTCCCCCGTGTTGGAAACTTCCATTCCAGAGCTTTTTCTTTTTGAAATGTGGTGGTAGGTGTGATCTGAGCGCACAGGCTGAGCTGGGAGCTGTGGCAGAAGGACAGCCTTGCTGTTAATTCAGTGCTTCTCCTAGGGGAACATTTGAGGTCCATCCTGGAGCCCAGCTTGCAGCCCTGGGGTTCCCAGCACAAGGCAGACACAGACCAGTTGGAGCAGGTCTGTGAGATTTGGGTCAGGCTGAGAAATTTGGGGTTGTTCAGCTTGGAGAAGCAAAAGCCTCAGGGAGACCTTATTGTGGCCTTTCAGTACATTAGAGGGGCTTACAGGAAACTTGGAGAGACACTTTTTACCCAGGGCCTGTAAGTGAAAGGACAAGGTACAATGTTTTTAATCTTCAGGAGGGTAGATTTAGACTGGACATCAGAAGGAAATGTTTTTATATGAGGGTAGTGAGATATTGTCCACTGAATTTGTGGATGCCAYATCCCTACAAGTGTTCAAGGCCATATTGAATGGAACTCTGTGCAACTTGGTCTAGTGGAAGGTGTCCCTGCCCAGGGCAGGGGGTATGGAACAGGATGGTCTTTAAAGTCCCTTTCAATCCAAACTGTGCCATGATTCTATAAGCAGGATCCAAAGCAGACTATAAAGTGATGGTATTTGCCTGTGCAGATCCATGCTTTTTCCAGGTGAACAAAACCAAAGGGTCTTACACCTACAATATTTGGGGGTGGCACAGTCCCAGTAAATGTTGATGGTCTTACAACTGTTAAGATGCATCCAGTTCCACTTCTATTAGAATTTGAGGAGATGCCTCTGCTGTGTCTGTGAAAGGYTGTCTTAAAGAAAGCAGAATTTTCAGAGGAAGTTGACTAACAGTATAAGAACTATCCACCCTCCCATCTGAGTTCTGCAGACAAACACAGTTCCAATGGCAAAACAGAAGCAATTTTTAAATGCAATTAATCCTAATCAGAATAGTTCAGTGTTAGATGGTTTTGMTTCAGATATGCATAAAAGCATTTTCTTCCTTGGTTACTTTGACGCTTGTCTGTAATTAGAAAGGCAAAAAATTATATCTGACATATAATGCTGAGACCATTTTTTGTTAGCCAGATGAGCAATTTCTTGCACATTGTACCAGAAAAAACCCTCTGCTTGCTGCTGGTACAGTCTCAGATGGAGTAAGACCTTCACTGTTGAGCACCCAGACTTCAAATAGGATATAAACTTGTACTGTAGGGAATTTAGAGAGCAACAGACATAATCAGAGGTCTAGAAAATATGACCWATGAGATAGAATTGAGCAAACTGAAGTAATTTAGTAGAAGTGGAGGGAAAGGATAAAATAAAATTGCAGAGAGGAAGATAATATAATGTTTTCTGTGTAACAGAATCAAAGAATCATAGAGTAGTTTCCAGTCATTGGATTGGAAGGCACCTTAAAGATCATCTAATTCCAACACTCATGGACAGGGACACGTCCTACTAGGCCAGGTTATTGAGAACCCCATCAAACTTGCGCTGAACAGTGTCAAGGATTTCTCTGGATCACAATTTCTCAGGACAATCTGTGCCAGTGTCTCCAGTGCTCATGTCTTTCTTGTGCCCACAATGCACAGAAGACAAATAACAAGTTTAAACTGCAAAAGGGAAAAACTTTTCCAGGGATGGGACAGTAATAAAATAAGGGCTTAATTTTTCTAAGCCAAATACCCTCATCTTAAAGTAGGATGGACAGGCACTTTCTCCCTCCCAACACAGAACATTTTTTGTGTCCAAGATGCCATCCTCTCTTTGGACAGCCTGTTCCAACACTTTCTCATGAGTTCCCTTTCTGGAAAACTAAGCTTAGTTCTTTACTTTTTATTCCCAGTAAACGATKCACCAGCTGTGTATTCCTCACTTTCATGGCCTTGGGGCACACAGTGATGCTCTGACCCCTTTCCTGGGAGCTGCTCCTCCACCCACCATTTCCCWCCCACACAGAAGAGCACAGTCGTGGTAAGTGACTCCTCTCTCCAGGCTGCTCTTCCAGTTCCCCTAGATTATTTGCATGCTGCTGTCTTTATTCAGCATGCTGGGATAACTCTTCTGGAACAGGGAGGGAATAACTTTCTGCTCTGCTCTGTGCTGGTGCTGTCTCACTTKGAGTCCTGTGYGCAGTTTTGGGTGCCACAATATAAAAAAGACATTAAGATGTTAGGGAGTATCCCAAGGAGGGCAACGAGGGTGGTGAAGGGCCTTGAGGGGAAGCCRTATGAGGAGAGGCTGAGGTCACTTGGACTGCTCAGCCTGGAGGAGACKGAGGGGAGATCTTATTGCAGTTACAGCTTCCTCCTGAGGGGAAGGGAAGGGCCAGGCACGATCTGGTGTTCTCTGTGATGAACAGTGACAGGACCCGAGGGAATGGCCTGAAGTTGTGTCAGAGGAGGTTTAGGCTGGATATTAGGAAAAGGCTCTTCCCCCAGAGGTTGTCGGGCACTGGCACAGGCTCCCCAGGGGAGTGGTCTTTGGACAGCCTGTTCCAACACTTTCTCATGAGTTCCCTTTCTGGAAAACTAAGCTTAGTTCTTTACTTTTTATTCCCAGTAAACGATCAAGCTTGATCAAGAAGCATTTGGACAATGCTCTCAGGCACACGATGTGACACTTGGGGACGTGCTGTGCAGTGTCGGGAGTTGAACTCGATGATCCCTATGGGTGCCTTCGAACCCAGCGCACTCTGAGACACTGGAATTTCCTGCGGCCACCGAGACTCGCCCCTTCCCGCGGCCCGCCAGGGCGGGGACTCGAACCCGCGGCCCCGGCGCTGCGAGGGCCCGCCCCAGCGTGCAGTGCGAGCGGAGGAGGTTTGTCCCTCGCGGGCTGCCGTGTGCCGGGCGCGCTGTGGTGCCGCGCTGATCGCCTGCTCGCCCCGTCCGCCGCCCGGCCCGGCCCGGCCGCCGCCATGAGCGACAAGGGCGAGCTGGACCTCACCGGCGCCAAGCAGAACACGGGCATGTGGCTGGTGAAGGTGAGGAGCCGCCGCCGCGCCCGGGCCCGGCCCAGCGCGGCCTGCTGCAGCCGGGTCCCTCCGCTCGTCCCCGCCCCGCCGTGCCCGGGGTGGGCGCGGTGAGRTCGGGGTTGCCGCGCCAGGCTCGCCCTGTGGCCCGAGATAGGCACTGTGACTGTTCCCTTTCTCGGGAACAGCGCGGGCCTGGGCCCGGGTACCTGCCCAGTAAAGGAGACACCGCAGGCAAAGTTGGGCTACGGGAAGTTGTCATAGAACTAGAATGTTGAGGGGTTGGAATAAACTTTAAAGATCATCCAGTCCCGGTCCCCCTTGCGGTGGGCAGGGACATCTCCCACTAGCCCAGGTTGCTCAAGGCCTTATCCGGTCTGGCTTTGAATATTTCCGGGGATGGGGCATCCWCAACCTCCCCGGGCAACCTGCGCGAATGTCTCACCACCCTCACAGTAAAACAGCTCCTCCTTCTCCTTGCTAGTGGTTTGTGACGAGCGACAAATACGGCAATGTAACTTTCATTTCTCCAAAACTTTGAGAGTTGGGGAAAGTTTTGAGAGTGCCTAGATTTATGTCCTCATGAAAAAAACCTCCAAATCCAGCAAGGAAAGTGAACGCCAGTGTCTAGTCATTACAGCTCCTTTTGGTGCTAGACAAATACAGCTGTAGTGGAGGGGCTGTGAAAAGGTAGGGAGGGTGTCAAATCAAATCTGTTTGGTTGCAAGGCCATGCTCTAGTTCTGGTGCCACCACTAAYGAGGCCAGCACTGCTCTGTTCTCCAGAGTGTCTTGCTATCAAGACRTTTTGGCTGGTTCTTCTGTCAACAGCAAGCACTGCTTCAAAAAGAGGAGACTGGAAGCCAATGGGRGACCATATGCCCTGCCTGTTTTGAGTCTCCTCTASGTGTGTTCATCTTTTTCTAGACCTKTATTTATTCTGTCTTGGGAGAAACGGTTGCTTCCTCCCGTTCCTCCTTTAGGAATAGGTTCAGACCATTGGCTTGAAAGAACCTGTGGGGTCAGAGTGGTACCCAAATASTGGTCCTGGGTGATTAGGCGGGGTGTAACACTATCATACTTCAACTTACCAAAACTTCAGACTGTGGCCCTTAAAAATTGGTGGGTATTTCAGACTTGCTTTGCTCTTCAGAATTTTTGGTGTCAGTTCTGTTCTGACACCTGAGTGTCTGGTGTCCCAAAACCACGATAAACACTGTGCCGTGCTCTTATTGTGGTAGCTTTTTCAGGGCACTGTGAATGAATGCTGACAGCATTCAGAAAGCTGCAGAAATAGATCATGACATGCTGAGTGACAGGATGATAAAATGCAGATTAAATTAAAAGTTGAAGGATCTAATCTGGCGTGCATAGAGAAAAACTATCCTAATTATATGTACACAGCAATTGGGTTTCTGCTGGTTGTTGTCATTCGGGAGGAATGTTTTTTTCAGTACATGGGGATAACTCTGTAAGTGTCATGTCACATGAGCAGAGTCAGCATTGCACATGATTACAAAAGATACAGAAAACAAGAGAGAAATTATTATGGTAACGTCTTGACTCTATCTGGAATGCTCTTTAGCTGTGGTGTCGTCCCCCTTGCTGTGGAAAGTGTGGAGTGGACCTGAAAACAGGATAGAGGAGAGCACCAGCGATGGTCTTGGCAACAAGGAATGATGGCTGTGTCAGGAACTCATACATTGTTACCTTTTAGGCTGGCAAGAGGATTAATTTGGAAATCTTGTACAGATRTGAAGCAATGAGTAATGCCATGGGTGGAAGGAAGAAGTGAATAGGCAAAGGTGRTTAGGACAGAGTCAGTTCAAGTACAAGAATTAGAGGTGTGTCAGATTAATTTATTGATGGGGCTTGGAGCAAACAAAGCAAGTACCATTTTGCACAATATGTAGTTACATTATGGAACTTCCTGCAATAAGTTGTGAATGTCCAAACTTCACTGAAGCTCAAATGCCATTAGTCAAATTCAGGCAAGAAAATTGAATAGAGGGTTTAAAAATTAATATGCTGCCATACTCCATGTCTACTAAAACATCTTAGAAATTGCTGGGGAAATCTGCTTTCTTCATATGTTCTCCTGTTCTTCCTGACGTAACTGCCATTGGCTTCATTTGGAGATAGGACACTGAACTTGCTTGTCCTTTAGTCTGATACCGTTTGGTGTTTCCTGCAACAAGGAATATTCAGGCACGTGAGCTTACAGCTGCTGCTGCTCTTTTTAATGAGAAGATAGGACTGAAAGGAAAGCCTAAATATTACTTTTCCAAGTAAATATTAATGTAATCCTTTGTGCACCTTTTCTGAACTTACATCTGTCTTCTTGTATATTAATGATAATAAAAGAAGATTGAAAAGGTGCTGACACTGATAGACCTTAACATGGGATATGCAGGATTTTATCCTTTGATTTCCTTCAGACTTGAACTTGGCAACATCCACTCCAGTCAGTAGGACTTCCAACACACTCAGAGGCAAGACAGTGCATAGTTAGAACCTGCGCTTTTTATCTTCAGTAGCTAGGATAACGAGGTTGAATTTATCCCTCCTTTGAGGGAGAGAGCATTCAGTTCTGATGGAATAAAAAACCTGGCTTATTTGATTTCCTTTTAGCATGCATTGTGCTAGCACAGGAAGTGTTCCAGAGAGACTACTTAACAGGCAATAAAAAAATGTAGTGATGAGTGTTTTAGAAGCATGAGCAGTAAAAGGAGGCACCATAAAGAGAGTGAGTTGCTTCTGTACAAATCCAGAAAGAACTGGATTTTTATTTCTGTGTTTTCCATGAAAGCTGAGGTTGAGAAATAGTAAGAACTTTTGGTCATGTACTTGTGGTAAAGTGAAACCCACTTAGTGTTCGCCATTAGAACATTCTTGTTCTGTGTGTATTGGTCAGGTTGTTTTTTTTTATTTAATCTGCTGCATTGCTCTATAGCTAGGAAGATGATACCTTTATTTATTTAGTTTTTGTAAGTTCAAAGAAAAATTAAAATATGGAACCTGACATCAGCCTTAGTTTCTCTTGTATGTACTGCAAATGGATTGCTAGATAGAGAAATAATTAATCTAATTTCTTACAGTAAAGTGGAGGTAGTTTAGTTTGATACAGATAGGGSTTGCTTGTGTGTTTCCTTCTAAAGGTGGGTAGGAAGCTGTGCCCAAGCTGGAAGGTGAGTGGTCCAGGGGCCCTTGTGTCGKACACTGCCTGCTGGGTGCCTCGTATACTGCAGCCTGGGCCGTTGTGTGATGTGAGTAGTGAGAGAACAGCAGTGGGAAGAGGTTTAGAAGTGATGCTCCTTAGTACATCAGATTTGTTCTAGCGATTAAATTGTATTTTTTCTTTTTTGGAATGAAGGATGTCCTTACCTACCAATCCCAGAAAAAAGGCCACTTGTCTTGAAAGGGTGCGTTCAGTAGCCTTTCAGTATGGCAGGCACTGTGTCCGCAGGTCACTTTTTCTGTAGGTATGTATTTTTCAAAATCCTGCTGTGGGGTCTTTGAAAATTCTGCCCTGTAAAAACAGGTTGCTCTTTTTTTTCTGTGTGTGCTTTCAAGGAGTGTTAAGACTTTGAAAACTGACTGTTTTCCATAAGTTAATCTTTTATTATGCTGAAGTTAAAAGAAAGGGGAAAAATGAGATGTCTACAGCATTTAARACTTTATTTCATTTTTCCTCATWGTTTACATCATTAGCATGTGGTTTTGTGAGTAACACCTGGTTCAATCTGAAGTACTTATAAGTAGCTGGAAGTAATCCTTTAATGACCGTCCTTCAAACCCTTTGTCTTTCTCTGTGTAACCCTTGATTGCAGATAGGCTAGCAGATAGAAAGATGATTAGATGCACTCTTTGAGACTTTACCCTGCAGCTGAAAAACTGATCTACAACCTCTTAATCTGACTAAAATCCCAATCTGAATGTATTATATAGCAAATCAAGGATTTTAACACTGAGAGCCCTTCACTCCTTGTCCACTCATAGTATATGTGTATCTACCTTATTAGCTGGCAGTATAAATACAGATTAGGTGCAAGCACATAGTAATATTTCTGTTGAGTCAGCTGGGACACGTCATAGTGTTTATCTTAACTTTAGGGAGAAAACAATATCTGATCTGGCATGGAATCTGCTGTAGAAGATTACCACTTTGAAAACTGAAGAAATAGATATCAAGAGATTGTGCCAGYTCATGGCTTTCTGTTGTGCTTTTGTGGTATTTTTCACCAAAATTGTCTGAACTTTATGGGAACCTGGACTGCCATTTAGTTTGTCTGGGCAGTTGGAGGACATCTGGAGTTTGTAGTTATTCTACATGTACTTCGTGGGGTACTGTGAGTCTACAGGTAAGTGCTAACTAAGCACCAGTCCCAAAATATCTTCTCGAATTCTTGAAGAAAAGGTAAATGCAAARATAGTATTAATTTAATTTGAGCTTTAGGAAGTTAAGAGGTTGCTCTTTGTCCGCAATTTCTTGAAACAGGCTCTTTTTCTCCTTAGCTCACTTAGTTTTACTCTGTGCAAGACAAAAATCAGGCTTCAAAGTGTTTCTTTGCTGCTTGAAACAGCAAATGCCCCAGGCATAGTTTGGTGCATTTACCTTTCTTGCTGGCTGTGCCTCGCACTATTTTTGTCCGTGGGCACAGATGCTGTGGACTGTGTGAGCCAGGACAAACTTTCTGTGCCAGTAAAGCAAATGGTTGTAAAGTTCTGAAGGGTGCCCTGCCTCCCAGAGGCCCTTATTGTCCATTTTGAGCCCAGGTTACCTGATGTTGCAAATACTACAGCCTTTGGTACTGAAGGAATTTGTGTATAGGTGAGTTAACATCACTGCAGCAGCTTTTAATCCTCAGGTTACATAGGTCTTATTCCTGTCCTTGGACTAACCACKGCTTTGTGCAGCTGTTCAGGAAAATGGGTTGAGGAGCTGCTTTGCTTGTTTCACTTGCTGAAAATAAAATCAGGACAGCAAAACATGGAAGTCACCCATACCTCTTAGCTAGATCAGTCTGCTCTTTCTGTATGCTGACCAGCTGCACAAAGACTTTGCCCAGTGCAGTGAAGAACTGGAATGAGTGATGGGAGGCAGATTTGCCTAGGCTGGTTCTGCTGTTGAAGGAGTAAAATCTGGTGGCAGTAGGCTGTGATCTGCTGCATAGTGTGTCTGAAGTTCCCAAAGTCTTAAGCCTTCCCTTTCCAGCAATTACAAATCAGTAATTTCCTGACTTCACATCACTGTGATTGGTTGGCTGATTTTTTTTTTTTTACCAGAGAATGATAATTTCTAATGAATATTTAAAAGTATAGTTTTACTGGATAAAATATTGAGACTCCTTGGTTTAAGAACATGATGCTAATCTTTTTCTGCCTTTCATGATTGGATAGTAGTATTTGAGATTCAAGTTATTTTAAGATATTTCTCCCATTTGAGACTCTACATTGGCATTATTTTTGTGCTACATTATTCTCTTTTCTCTGTTCTCCCTAACAGAATATATATACATATATGTATGTATGTCTATGTATGTGTGTATGTATATGTATATGTGTATAACAGCTCGAGCAGTGGGCTTGCATGAGCCTCATAAAGATCAACAAGGCCAAGCACAAGGTGCTGCACCTGGGTTAGGGCATCCCCCAGTATCAGTGCAAGGGGACAGCAGATGGAACGGGGAGCAGCTCTGAGGACAAGGACTTGGGGCTACTGATAGATGAGAGGCTGAGCATGACCCGGCAATGTGCACTTACAGCCCAGWAAGCCAAATGTGTCCTGGGCTGCAAACAAAAGCAGCATGGGCAGCATGTCAGCAGAGGATTTTTGCCCCTCTTCTTCTCTCTGGTGAGACTCCACCTGGAGTGCTGTGTCCTGCTCTGGGGCCTCCAGCATAAGAAGGATGTAGACCTGCTGGAGCAGATGCAGAGGTGGCCATCAAGATGATGAGAGAGCTGGAGCACCTCTTTTATGAAGACGGATTGTGAGCTGGATCTACTCAGTCTGGAGGGGAAAAGGCTTCAGGGAGGCCTTATAGCTACCTTCCAGTGCCTCAAGGGGGCTGATGAGAAAGATGGGGAAAGACTTTTTAGTATGGCCTGTAGCAGTTGGAGGAATGGTTTTAGATGAAAGGAGGGTGGATTTATACTAGACGTAGGGAGGAAATGTTTTATGATGAGGGTGGTGAGGCACTGGCACCGGTTGTCYAGAGAAGTTGCAGAAGCATCATCCCTGGAAACATGCAAGGTCAGGTTGGATGGAACTCTAGAGCAAACCCATCTAGTTGCAGATGTCCTTGCTTGTTGCAGGGGGTTTGGACTAGATGACCATTAAGGCCCTTTCCAACCAAAACTGTCTGTGGCTCTCTATTGTCTGCTCTATTTAGGTAATACTTTCTGAAGGGGTAAAAGCATTTAATGTCATATACAATTTGTATAGAATTTTAAAATCTGTTTTTCTTGAAATCTGTTGTCTTTTCTTAGGTCCCCAAATACTTGTCACAACAGTGGAGTAAAGCTTCAGGAAGAGGTGAAGTGGGAAAACTAAGGATTGTCAAGTAAGCCTTTTTCTGTACATTTAATGGTTGCATTTCTTAGAAGAAGTTACCTGCAGTAAAATAARAATGTGTTGCACCTGTTGTAACACATAATCCTATTCCTTGCCAACAGTGTGCATATTTCTCTGGTACATGAGCAGTATTTGCTTGCTCAGTGATTAGGAATATAAATTGTCCAAATTTTACTGGGGAGTCGCTCTGTCCYATTGCATGATGTTTGATTTCCTAGCTTTAGAGAATCCTAACTGCAGAATTTTATTTTATTTACATGTGTTATTTTTCTGCTCCTGTTCTCACATGCTGATTTTTCCCATTTATTCTTGGGCATCAGCATGACAAAAAGTTTAGCAGCTCGGGAGTAAAGATTAATAACAAAATTAGAATTTGAATTTGCTTTTTTATCAGGAAAGCTGAACTTGAGAAATTAGGCTATGGAAACTTTGTTAATCATTATTTTAATATTTACGGATTTATTAAATATTACATATTTTCTCTTTCAGGAATCAAGGACGAACAGAAGTAAGTAATTGCTAAAGTTTATATTTTGAATTCTAAAAATGGTGCTGGTTTCTAATGTCACATACTTTTTGTTATGCCTCTAGTGAAGTGTTATACCATAGAAYAGGGAGGAGGGAATTCTGTTGGTAGCTGTGTCTGTAGATGCATGAGGTCTCTTTGTTCCCTCACTTTGTTTACCCATCTGAAAGCAGCAGTCATAGTAGTGACCTTCTCTTCAAACATTTTGAGATATGTTAGTACAARAGGCTAAGGAGAGTGCACAGGAAAAGCACACAGTGCTGGTCTGAAGTATCCCTCTTCGAGTTCCTGGCTGTGGCCTGTGTCTAGGGATTCTGATTATCCAGTCCCCCTTTCCTTAGCTTTTGCATTGAGCATACAGTGTAAACATGGCAAAATATTCTGGTTTGTATGCAATCCAGAAATCCTAGACTAATAACACTCCTTGTGGTACTTCACTTTTCCTGGAACTCAGCAGGCTGTGTGAAACATTTTTAAGCACTCATGCTGAGCAATGGCTGAAAACCTATTATGCRTTATATTTTAATATGTAAAATCAAATTATTCTCTGACTTCAGAACGAAGTAAGTTACAATTTTTTAAAAGTTCAGTAAATTTTATTAAGTACATGAAAGCTTTGAATTCTGTATTTCAACAAGATATCARTATGGAAGGACTCTTATGTCACTGTGTTTTTGAAGTAGAAATGTGCTATACTACGTGTGCTTTCTCTCTTTTTGCTTTCCCATAACTTGTGAAACAGTGTAATTGGATGTGTTTAGTAACACTGTGGCAWTTGTGACTGTTAGGTGTCATTTACTTTGAATGAAGAGCTTGCAAGCATCAATGATATTGGAGGAAAGCCTGCTTCAGTCAGTGCACCWAGGGAACATCCATTTCTTCTGCAAAGTGTGGGAGGACAGACCTTAACGGTGTTCACAGAAACTTCAGTAGGTAAGTTAGAATTAAAGTTGTTATGATTCSAATATGTCTGGTTTCAATAAATTCAGTGCTGTTAAAGACAGACTCAGAAGCAGGGTTTGGCTGTTTTGTTGTTTTCTGTGTAGATAACACTTGTAATTTTTTTGTGTCTGTCTGTTTTTTTTTGTGTGATTGAGCAACTGATTTAAGTTCTCCAGGGTTATCATGTACATTTCAGCTCTGGGTCTGCTGAAGAGAACAGAGAGMGCATGGAATGCAATACAGAGTGCAGTACATTGTGTACATTCTCCTTTAGGGTTTTTACTGAAAAAAAAAGTTTTCGTGTTCCCCTGTATTTTTTGTATGAACTAGTACTTGGTTTTTTTTTTCTCCTTGAATTTGTCTCTGCTGGAAATATAGTTTTATAAGAATGCTGKTTTTTCCTCTGTCCATTTTAAAAATTTAATCAGTTAAAAATATTGCATTTCTTAGCAACTAGAAAATGTTTTTTGAGGACCATGGATCTACCAAGTAGAAGTTAATTATATTAACTGGGAGCAAAGGATGGTTAGTGGCATGAAAAATGATTKCAATGCAGCACTGAATAAGCATAGACCCTGTCAAAATTGTTTTTGCTTGAGACTGGCAAGCATAACATGCAGTCAGTGAGTTTTCCTGGATCTGATTTAAATGCAAAGGGGCTAAAATCTTTTGCTGTTGCGTGTAAGTTGATGTTGACAGTACAATCAAAAATATACTTTATTGTGCTCTTCTTGCCTGATTTTTTTTTGCTTTTAAGAACGAATATGACACAAATTCTAGTCAGATTTCTTACAGGCACCATGTTTCTGAAGTCACATTCATGTGCTTAAATGTGTAGATATGTTTTGAGCTTCACGTTCAATGTCAACAAATTTCAAAGTGAACTATGGCTAGCGTGAAAGCAGGTGTCTGAAGAGTGGACTGTAAGGATGTCCCAATTGAAAAAATGGCTGCTATTCTATTTGATACCAGAAAATTCCCATGGAAAAAAACCACTATATTGACCATGGAAGAACACTCAATAAAAACTTACACATTTTTTCATGTCAGTCAATTCATAGTAAGGCAGTCATAGGAAATTGAAATTCATTCATTCTTATATTCACAGACCAGTATTTGTCTTGATATTATAATTAACATATTTTTTTCTGAAAAGCATCTTGTTTCTTTTCCTTTTTTAAACTGCACCACGTAATACCAGCAATATGTTGGTTTGAACCTTGGGACTGGTTCAACTGTATGGYATGGAACTGCAGATGCCATGCGTTTGGAATGGTGCAATTGAAGAAACTATACAGATGAAATATGGATGAAAATGTGCTTCATGCACTATTGCTCTCAAACAAAACCCTTCTTGAGGACTGACTTATAATGGGACAATTGGCATATAGCAGTTGGGTTTGTTTTGTACAGGGTGGGTTTTTTATTGATTGTGRGTTTGTGATTTGTTCCGTCTTCCACCCTTTCTTCCGAGCACACTGAATGCACTAAGATCTATTCTCTGTGTAGTCCTTCCTTGGGATCCTTATGTTGTAGTGACTGTATTTTTGATGACCTTTCTGAAATACATGGTGATCTTGGAAGATGCTGTAGGGAGTTTACGTATTCTGGATAATTCAGCATTTAACCTTGACTCATCAGGTCTCTTAGAGCAAGCAAAGAAGATCAAATTTGACAAGTAATTTAATATTTTCTTCATTGTGTAATTTCTAGTCTTCTGAATGGATTTTCTGTTGGTTTTGTTTTGCTTCTTAAATGAACTTGCTTCTACTATTTGTAGTATTGGAAGAATCCKTTAGTTTTTTCACTGTAAACATCTGCATCTATGGTGGTCTCATATTAATGGGCAGCAGTAGGCTCTTCTGAGGCTTATGAATTGCAGTTTCTTGCCATTGCTCTTCTTCAGTGTGTATCTTGAGCTAATATAAAGCAGGATAAAGTGGCTCTCATCCCAGATACTGTTAAAAATGTGGCCTAAGCTGGCTTTCACACCTGCTGCATCTTTCGTATGGATTAACTCTGGGGTTTTTCCCATTTCTTTTTGTCCACTTTTCTATATTTTGACATAGCCCCAGTGAATAATAAATACTCAGTACTCTGAAAGTACTGAAACTCTGGTAGTTGCAAAGTCTCCTTACTTCCTTTGCATGGCTGTTGCMCGAGTGAGATATTGCATTGTCTTCATTGCTGGGCAGATCACTGAGGCTTGTGGTGGCGTTTCTGAACAGGAGTGTAGCTAAGCTGTGGGAAGCATGGCTTCCGTCATGTCTGCAGAGGGATCCAAAGTACACTTGTCTCTTGCTGTCTAGGTCTTGCTGTCTAGGCTGGTTTTGGTATTATTTCTGCATTAAATAGGAACTACATTCTGTTCCATAAACATCACCATATGTACATCAACAGTTGCTATGCAACAAGGCTATTTGTGCTTCCAGTCATTTTATCTTATCTTTGTCATCAGCTATCATAGCTGTAATTTTTTTGGCGGGTGAAAAGCAGAGGATTTTGCATATATTTTAATGTGTCTTATTGAACAAAATTATTCTTATATGCATATAGCTAGAAACTATCTAGGGGCAATTCGTGTGCCTGATACATAGGGTTTGGTTGAAATTGTTACCTGAGCAGACACTCGAACATAAAACACTCTAAAATTGTAACCTGGCAGACACTCTTAACATAAGAGAATGCTGTAATTTAACAGTTTCTTTCTTGGTTGAATGAATGGGAAGATACTTTTGTTAAACATTTATCAGCAAAGTTTTCTGATTGTGTTTTCTGATTATCATTTTTCTGATATGCTTAATTTTTCTGCCAGTTTAGGTTTCTGGATCTTAATATAAATAAAAAATGCAGCTTTGTTAGAGATAATGATAAAAGTTTCATACTGAGCTTTTGGAAAAATATGCTACTAATATGACTTGTGAAAACACAGACTTTGGCAGTCAGTTGTGTCCCAGACTGTAAAGGACTGATGGGTGGAGGAGAAGATTTTACACTGTAGACACAAATAAAGTATAAGATATTTCTGTAAAGTTGGATGAGATGATTCATTTTATTTAAATTTTGAATATATCTTCACAACTCCCCCTTCATAAGTGGGATTGCCGTAATGTCTATTTTCGTGTCTTTAAATTCCCTTCCATCTTACTGAAAGTAAAAACTGTTCAGAGAATTCCATTGACATAACACATACCAGAGCTTTGCTTCTGAGCAGCATTCATGCGTGGATTSTCATACTGTTTCATGCTTCACAGAACATTGCTGGCTTTTAATATTTTGTTTTTCTTCAGTTTCCTGAGCCTTCTCTCCTTCAGAAATTCAATTAATGACATTCAATTTTTTTTGTKTTCTTGTTCATTAATACATGCAAATCTGCCTATATACCCTAAAACAGCTTATTTCTTCCCACATTCCGTGAAAATTCTCCCATTGTTTTGAATTGTTGTTTTTTTTTCCTTTGAACAGCTTCTCATATATGAAAGGACCTTTTCTGAGTTTGTACRTGAATCACACCATATAACATACAACGTGCAATTTTATTTCAGTGAAAATGAATATTCAGTGGTTTTTTATTCTCTATTTTATATTTATGTATTTTTAAATATCAGCTGTATCCAGCCATTAAAGAAATGTGAGGGGGAAAACCCTAATGAAAATTTTTCATTAAACCCCAATAAAAAATTTTCATTAACTGCTTTAATTAAATTAATTCTTTAATTACGCTTATTTATTTTCAGTTAAGTATATTGTGCTCAGAATCTTGATGCCTTGTAATACTATTTCCAATTTTATTAGGTAAATGTYTGAATACTCAAATTCCTCATCAAACTCCTATTTAGAAATTAAACACCCTTGCTGTTCTGCTGTCTTAGTGCAGCCTGCTTACGAGTTTGTTATGTACCTGTCTACTTTTAACAGTGCTTTCCAATTGTCTCTGCTAAGGCTGTCACTTAAACTCGTATTCCAGTCTCCAGAATRTTTTGGGATCTAGCCTAATGCTTCTTTGTTCTATTATGTACTTCAGTCTTTTCTGGACTGTTAGCAGAAGCAGAAAACCTATCAGCAGCTTCATGATCAAAATAAATAGAAATAACAGCTGCCTATCAAATCCATGGCATTTATGCAAATTTCCAAATATWTTTGAGGATAATAAAGATGAAACCCTTGATCAGAAGAGGATAATTTGTGGCTCAAGCTAGTTTTATTGACAGACATCATTTTGATGGCTCAGAATTTTGTGTGTATTATTGTGACATGCAGTCCATTTGGAAAACAATTGCAGTTGCTTATATCACGCCCCTTCTCCATCTCAAAAAAAAGGGAAATTATTTAACTACTTCATATGCTTGTTGGAGGATTAGAAAAATATTGTGAAGCAGATTCAGCAGGCTGGCAGGGATARGCTAATTTTATTTTCATTTCTGTTATTAAAATTATAGACTCTTTGTTCCTGTACGAATTTAATATGGTCTGTTAGAATGGGCTCAGTGTGATTGGAATAGTCTTTTTGCCTACTTCATTGACTTAAATACTTCCCTTTTTTTCAGTCTCACTGATGTACATGTAAAAAACCAACACCCCATCACCACAACAGCAAAAACTCACTAACAACAAAAAACCCAACCAACCAACCAACCAACCCCAATCTGTTGATGTTTATCAGTGACATTTATCAACTCTTGCATATTAGGCTAAGCACCAGTAGTCTGCATTAATAAAATATATTAAGTAGACATAGTACAACTTCCTTTACCTTCTTCATTATATTAGTACTGAGAAGATTTTTAAAGCAGAGACTTGTGCYGTAATCATAACAAATCAGAGTTGTCTGATGATGAGGAAGAAAAAGGCCRCTTTTTTGCAAGACTTGAATTTTATCGGGCTTTTTTTCTTTGCCATTGAGGACAGATTCTGTTGACACATACAAACATAGCTCTCCCTGTAGACGTGATGTACTTTTATCGTTATTTGAATCAGAGATGCTCTTAGCATGTTCAAATGTGATGTCTTTGGCAATAGTTTTGGCGGGGTAGCTTTGCTCTTGCATTGAAACTGAGTTAAAAATTGAACAGCTTTAAGTCCAGTTGCATCTCACTTCTCAGTCCAGATAGGCATTCGTATCTTTACATATTTGTATGTTTTTCATTACATCCTCTCTGCTTCTTGTATGTACACTGAATGCTTTCATCATTAAGTTGCAGTTAAGTTAGGGTGTTGGTTGGTCATTTATTTTACATTATGCTGGAAATGTGCTACATGTGCACAAAAAATAACATCAGCAAGAAAATACATGCTTTTTTGCCATCAGGCTAACCTGGATGCATGTATGAAGTGGCAGGGATCTTTACTGATTTTGTGAATGCTCAAAGCTGGGAAGGGGCCATATAATGATGGTTTCTCATAGACAAAGCAAGTGTCTTCAGCTGCTAAGACTAATGACAGCCACCTGGTGTAAAGAAAGAAGGGGCTGTAAGGTACTGGGTTTTATGTTTCCATTTAGTACCCAGGCTCTCAAGTCATCTCAGTGAGAAAAGAGGGACAGAAGCCTTCAAAGCCATCAAGAATCAGTGGCAAGAAAAAGGTTTTCTGRAATAATTCTGTTTCCAGTTCCTTTAATACCCAGCCTGTAAATGGCAGAAATTATCAACCTAACTGAACTCGAAAATTACTCTCTGAGTTYGAGCGGTAATTCACTCTTGCCTGTAAGTAAATAGCCTGTAATGACAGCTGTAACTTGTCTGAGTTGAAAGCAAAGAACAAGTATGTTTTACCATTTCTAAMTGTGTTTCAGGGAAGTGAAAATGCTCTTTTTATTTTCTGCTTCAGAGGATGTGTGAAAAGGAGAAATATGAGAGGAACAGTCAAGTATAAGATTGACAAATTATTGTAGGGGTTTAATTTTGTAGGTCTGGTTTATAGGTTACAACTCAAATTACCACAATACATCTACTGGCTGCCATTTCTTGAAGTGTGGGATTGGAATTTCTTGCAGAAARATGTTTCTGAATCTGACTCTGCCATTCAGAGTGATAATTTTTTGCAAGTTGCTTTGGAACACTGTATTTGTTTCTCTTTCATACATACTTATGATTCTCTGCTGCGTGGTACAGGAGATGTTTCTGATTATATGAATTTGTTTTACTTGACAAGTACACATACTTGACAAAAAGTACCAGTGGTCTATAGTGCCATTTGAGGACATAGAGAGGAAAAAGCTTAAAGAAATAAATTTCTCCATGGCCTGTAGAAAGGGTAGAGAAGAGGTTGATCAAGGTCAAAAATTTACCTAATGCCAATTAAGAGCATTCTTTTACAGAATCTGGGTTATTTTTGTAATATACAAAAATATTTGTTTGTGTAGACTGACCAGTGAGTTAAGTGAATAATGTACATTGTTTGAGCATAATCCTATGACTAATTATGTATAAATGTGTAACTTTGTTCTCGCAGAGCTCAGTCAGATGTGTAATAGAGCTCTTTATTTCAGTTGTGAGCTTGGACACTAGAGGACTTTTCTTTTTGGTTACTCCTGGTAGTAAATTATTTCTCAGAAGGTAAATTTATAAACATTAAACAAGTCCAGTGTTTATGATTTTATCATAATTTATTGTTCTTTACTTTGCAACCCAATTTTTAGATATAATTTCAAATGATCAACACAGAAACATTATGATTCCTTTTCTGTTTATTTTTTTTCCAGAAAACCAATCAGAAGAAAAATCAGAAAGTGGCAGTGCGGGTGAGTATARACATTTTCTTTGAAGCACTTCAGAAATTACTTATGACTACAGCTTTTCTGTTATGCTTCTTAAGAAATTGGTAGATTTTTTTATGAAGTGTCTTTTTTGTTATATTTAGTAGAATATCATTACATTAAAAAATAACTTAATGAACTGTTTTTCTGCTGTGACCAAAGGTTTAAATCATTACTGTTTTTTATTTAAAAGAAGGGGAATAAAATGATGAAGGAGAGATTTAGAAATGTAATGTTCTTTGGAATGTTGTTTTAGATTTTTTAATATATTCCTCAACTTTTTGTTTTGTTTTGGYTTGTTGTCTGTCTTTCTTTAGTTTGAATTCTTTTATTTTGATTGGAAAGATCTGTTGTTATTTGATCACAACTACATAAACTAAGAAGACATAAAAATAGTTCATAGAAAGTAGGATTATTTTGATGCACACAGATTAAATAGTATTGGGACTGGAGTGGCATTTGTAAGTSGTAATGGCACAGATGTGAGATGGCTCCTGTGAAAGATGTGAAAGACTTTCAAACCCCTACTTTTCTTAAAAACATTTCCTAAACGTAAGTCTAATACTAATGGGTGTTTAAAATGTCTTCTTGAAAGTACTTTTGGGACACTTAAATGTGGAGGCTTTTTCTGGTATCTGACTTCTTTGAATTGCATTCAGCATCAATATTGTCAAAAATGTATAGTTTCTGTCTGGCTAGAAGTAGGGGTTGGTTTTGTTTCCTCTGGYAGGGGATTTTTTGTTAAATGGAGATTACCCCTATTACACTGGCCTAAGCACTTCAGAAGACTGCTGTTAGGAGTGTTATAGTCTGCAGACTTGTACTGAGTCCAAGGTGTGTTTTATAGCTTGCAATTCTTCTCAGTTACTAGGTAAAACCTGTTCACTCTGATTCTTTCTCAGTYGTGGTGGGGTTTAAGATAAGTTAAATCTTATCTTGAATGAACTTACTTCCTWGAGATTAGTATTTTATACCACTTGAAAACAGATTCATTGCTGTGTGATGTCTCATGTAAATCAGATGTTGAGTTTTTAACTGGTAAGATGAATCAGAATTTTGATACTTCCATTTAGTTGGGTTTTTAGCTGTTGGGTTGTGCCCTTGGTTTTGCTTGGCTTTTGTGGCTTATTTTGTTTTGGTTTGTGTTTGAATGGTTGAATTGTCTGTGCTTCACTCTTGGTGCCTCCTCCTTGTTCTGTGAATGTTGTGTAAGATGGCCACGTGCTTAGTTGTTTGTATTTTTGCTTCGACCAGAAGAATGAACTATTGCATGCTGTGGGCTGTTTAAATATGCTGACAAGACAAATGCTAAACCCATTTGATGGAATCTAACTGGTTGTGGATTCACTTTCTGAGTGATGGTAGTTAGTTACCCTGGAGCATATAAAGGAGGACTCCCAGTGATCAGTTACACTATTTGCTTACTTACTTTTTTTTTCTCAAAATCATTGTGGAACTGAGATGACCTTTTCCAAACTACCTCTCAAGTAATTCAGGTTATTTAGTGCTTAATTTTTCTGTTAATCTACTGTATCTTGGCCTACATCAAGTACTTTTGAGGCAAGGGTGGTGTCTCTTGTGTATTAATTTAGCATGTTAGCATAACAAGATCCTTTTGGGTATACTGTAGTAAAAATATGTAAGGTTTACTCATATTTAGTAAGTAAAGAAAGTAAATGGGATATGACATTCCGAAATTATTTGGTTTACTTGCTTAAAAAATTTTTACATTGATGAGGTGCTGTCAAACTTTAGGATTTATTATATTGTAAATCATTAGTATTATGTATGACATTTTTAATCACATTTTTTTGTGGGGATAGTTGTAAACCACTTAAAAAAGGCATGATAGTACCAGTGTTGCTATTCTACATCATACTATTTGAGAGAGACGGTGTGATCCTGGATCAGACCAAAGGTCATCTTGCTGGTGTCCTGCCCGCAGTGGTGGTTGATAGTAGATGCCTTGAGATGAGTGTAAGAACAGTGTAGAAGCACAATGGTATCTTCCCAAAATACTTACTGTAGAATGATAGAAYAGTTTGGTTTGAAAGRGACCTTTAAAGCTCACCTAGTCCAGTCACCCTGCAATGAGCAGGGGCATCTTCAACTAAAACAGGTGGCTCAGACCATTGTCCAACCTGACCTGGAACATTTCCAGAGCTGGGGCACCTGCCATCTCTCTGGGTAACCTGTTCCAGCTTCTTCTAGCCTTTAATGATTCACAGCTCAGGGAGTTCCAGAACCAGAAGCGATGTTTTACTTAACAGGACCTCATGGATTTTCCTTTTATGAAGTGTCACTGTTGGTTGAACCCATGTAAATCATTAGTATCTATAATATCTCAAATGGTGGTTACAGTCAAAATATTCAGGAATAAAGACATACATGAAACAAGTTTACTTATACTAAATTTGAGTTTCTATTGAATTTTATWATTTTGGATCACTTTTTCCATACAGAAATCCTATTTGTTTAGAGCTTATGATGAGCGGTGCTTGGTGATTCAACCAGTGTTGTTTAGTGCCTGAAGGCTGATTTATGCTAAAAGTGAAAGAAGTGTAGCAAATTGCACACTCAGATAAAGGAAAAGAGAAATGAGGATTGTCTTTACTTGGTTCTATATGAGGATGAGCAAGCGATTTAAATCCAAATATGTGTATGTAGCTCTTGTTTGTTTATGGCGTTGCTTGCACCTACCTGTAAGTGCTGTCAGTGGCRACAGAAGCTGTGAAAACCGAGCATTTGTGCCAATATGAAGTGTGACCTGCTCCCCCCAATAAAAATACTCAGAAGCTRCTGCTCTGAGCCTGTGTAGTCTGCTGAGAATTATATAGTAAAGAAATGCATTCTCATGTAAGAGCAAATGCACTGGTGTAAGTGCATTACATGGACGTTGCATGGGCAACAACTGAGTATATAATGTTGCCTAAGCTTGGACCATGTAGACAGACAGTGTAGGGTGAACTTAGTATTAAAATGTTACCAATTTTAACTTTAGACATGAATACACAATACTTGAACTGTTCGTAGATTCCATTTCCCTAATTTCTTGATATTGCAGCAAAACAAAGGGATTCACATGTTGATTATATATGGGTTGGAATATTTGAAATTGATTGTAAGCATGATGTTAAGCACCGAGCTGCATGTAATAAAATCAGCATTTTTTTTTAAAGACAGAGTTCTTACGTTATAACAAGGGACGGTATAATGTTGCTAAATGTACATTTGATTTTATCCTCTTTCAAGTGGTCAGCATATGTTAATTACACCTCAGAAGTGAAACTCTGACTGAAAAGTGATTGTCAGGAGGAATAAAACAGTAATTTTTAATTTAAATATACTAGCTTGCAACTCAGTGTTGAAGATAATTTAGATGCAGACTCTACCATTTTCAAGCCACAGAAACAGTTTCTGTCTTGGAAATATAACTGGGTTTGTTGGCAGATAAATGCAACACAGTTTAAAATACAAGCTTCTCAGTAGCTTTCCAGGAGCCATAATCAGTATGGGACTCCATTTGTAGCTGCTGAAACATAAAAAGAAGCAACGATTCATGCTTCAAGGTATATGTCATCAAGACCTATGGTACTGGTTACAATAAATACTGTGGAAGAACAGGGAAGGTGCAGTGGTAGAATAGCRAAAGGATATGGGTATAATGTAGGTCAGCATTAACTGGAGTGAAATTTTTTGAGGATTTTCATAGATGTCCTTGGTGTCCTTAGAGTCTGGCTATTTATTTTAGTATATTGTATGAATAGCCTAACATTTATGTTTGAAAAACTAATCTATTTATTGTCATACAGTCCCTATCCTGAGAACAGAGCCTGATACAAAACAGTGGGAGTTAATTTCATGACCATATTTTGTCCTTCTATGATGTCCATGTCTAGCTTGTTGAAGTACTGAACTAATCAGAAATGTGCTTTTGGCTTGTACTAGAGTTCTTGGTTTCCCTTACAACTCTTGAGGAATCCCAGAAATCTTAGYCATGCTTGGAATTGCGGATCATGACTTCACAAACTGTGTTTGTCTTCTGTGAAGGATTTTGCTGATTATTGCAATTCRCCCACCTACCAGCATGATTACATTTGATGGGTTCAGACCTTTGGAATATTGCAAATTGAGAGCCTTGGATGATGGATCCCAGAGGCATCAATGACAATCTGATGTTTGCCATCTTGGCCAGTACAAGACTAACATGTAGCAGTCAGTTTCAAAGTAAATATAATGAGGTGGTTTGCACTCAGAATGTAATTGAGTCACTGAATTCCTTGACAGCAGATGTGGATATGAAGGTGATATTTGCTAAAGGCTTACATAACCTTAGAGGAGACCAAAGGGATATGAAAGACCATCGAATGTCAGAATGGTTTGGGTTGCCTTAAAGACTTTAAAGATCATGTGGTTCCAACCCCCCCACTGCCATGTGCAGGGACACCTTCCACTAGACCAGATTGCTCAAACCTGGCCTGGAGCACTTCCATGGATGGGGTATCTACAACTTTTCTGTGCAACCTGTTTGTTCCAGTTTTTAACCACCTTCACAGTAAAGAATTTCTTCCTAATATGTAATCTAAATCTGCCCTTCTTGTCTTTAAAGTATTTGTCCCTTGTCCTATTATTACATGCCCTTGTCAAAAATGTCTCTCCTGTAGTCCCCTTTAGGTACTAGAATGTGCTTTAGGATTTCCCTGGAGCCTTCTCTTCTCCGGGCTGAAAACCCAAGTCTCAGCCTGTGTTCATAGGGGAGGTGCTCCAGCCCTCTGATCACCTTTGTGGACCTTCTCTGGACYTGCTCCAACAGATCTATGTCCTTGTGCTGGGGGCCTCAGAGCTGGAGGCAGTATTCCATGTGGGGTTTCAAGAGAATGGAGAGGGGCAGAATCACCTCCCTTGACCTGCTGGCCATTCCTCTTTCAATGCAGCTCAGGATATGATTGACTTTCTGGGCTGTGAGCTCATGTTGCTGGGTTATG